GATGACATTCGTGTTCATATCATCATATAGTGAGACGGCAGAAGCTGAAAACACCGCGAGCGTCATCCGCGCTTTAGTATGTGTGTAGTAAACAAAACAGTGCGCCGCACCATCCGTCATTCATTTATTGTGGAAATCATGGCGCCTTATGCGTGATATCAAATGCTTCCGCAGATTTATAGTATTACTATAGCATTTCACCTGAGCATTGCAAATCACGCGTATGGCCATGATAACCGCTGAATGAATGTTGTAACATCGCGCAAGGTAAATAAGGGTGACATTTCTTTCTTTGACCCCAGAATTTTTAATGGTAGTGTATACAACATAAGAGACTATTTTCATGGAATCACAGTTTAAATTTCAGTCTGTTTCTCACACAGCTGAATGTGACTTCAGAATACTTTAAATACAGGTCATATGGAATACTTTTATTCTATGGTGCTTTTTATAAGTTATGAAGCTTGACAGCCCCTTGTCATTGGATATTTCCTTAAAAAAGAAAAGTGGACTTTATGCAATGCATCTCCTTGTTGCAGTGGTTTGAAAACTTTTCAAACTTTTCAGGGGAATCGGATAGAACACATTTTAACATTGCAACATCACATATATCGCCTTTAAAATTGTCTGTAAACATGCCTGAGTAAATGTGTGTGTGAAATGTCCCCCTCAGAGTTCAAATCAATTAGATAAACTTTACATTAGACCCATGCTGTACATCATCCGTTTAAACTCCCTTTAATCAATGGAGAACACAGTTGTCTGGTCCTTCCTGTTTTAATAATTAAAGACCTACAGATCCTTTGTTCTCTAATGAGCAATTAAGTGATTTTCAGTGCTTCTCCACCAGCACTGTGAATAATTGATTGGCTCTTTAAAAAAAACAGCCAGGGTTTTAGACAGTTATGCCCGGTGCATAAATCTCCCATCATGCTGTTCTGTAGGGAGAGGTTTGGTGTGATTTAATTTCTGCACCTCAGGACCCTGTTTTGTGCCTTAAGACTAATTTTTCTTTTTCTCTGCGCAGGTATTAGCGGTGGACCCTGATTATGGTGATAATGGGATGGTGGTCTACTCTATAAATCCAGGGAACCCCTTTTACACCATCAACCGCAACACCGGGAAGATCCGTACCAGTGGGGCGGTGCTGGACAGAGAGAGTCAGAACGCCCGCTCCGCACAGCTTATGAGGACCATCATTGTCTCTGCTACCGACCGTAAGCAACTCTCACCTGTCCCATAATGCCCCACTCTCTCTCTGAGGTCACAATAAAAATACTTTTACAGTCGCCAACTTTCAGTTTCTTTATTTCTGGACCGTCTAGCCTGTCTAGTCTGTGTTCAGAATATCATGCTAGCATAATGGTCTTACCAATTGCAGTATGCAAACTTTCTGTATTACATACACTACCGTTCAATAGTTTGAGGGTCAGTAAGACTTTTTTTTTAAATAAATTCATATTTTTATTCAGCAAGGTGTTATATTGCATTAAATGCGCTACATTTATCAAAAGTGACAGTAAATACATTTATAATGTTACAGAGATTCCATTTAGAATGATTGCTGGTTTTTTTAAACTTTCTATTCATCAAAGAATCCTGTTTTCAACATTGATAAGAAATGTTTCTTGAGCATCAAATCAGCATATTAGAATGATTTCCGAAAGGTCATGTGACACTAAACACTTAAGCAACTATGCAAAACAGCTATTTTAAAATGTAAAAATATTTCACGATATTACTGTTTTTACTGTATTTTTAGTCAAATAAATGCATAAGAGATTTAAGTAAAAACATTTAAAAAGTTTTACTGACTGCAAACTTTTGAACATCTGCCAAATATGTAGTAGATACTGTATATTGTATATGTACAATGTTGTATGCAGTGTGGTTGGCTTGACCTTTCACAAACTTTTAATTAACCAGAATTAATAATCTTTTTTTCTCATGATTTGATCAGACTTCCTAATTTTGATACATATTTAGAAATTCATATATTCCCAGATATCCAGATACTGAAACATATATCATCCCAATATTATAATAAATTAATTAATTAAATTAATGCATTTAGCAGACGCTTTTATCCAAAGCGACTAACAGTGCATTCAGGTTATACATTTTTTATCAGTATGTGATATTATATATTATATTATATTATATGTGATATTATATATCAAAGTATGTATTGTGTAAACTGTTTCTCATGGACCCTTTTCACAAGACGGTGAGGACGTGTTTAACGGTCATCAGCATCGTAAATCCTCTAAAGTTTTTCATATTTGTATTTTTTTTTTTAATGTATGTACATTTATAACACTATTCTTTGTATTATATCACCTTTGCATCAAATTACAAAAAAACTAATGCGAGGGTGTTTCTAATGCAGCATATTGAAAGTCATGAAAACACTATCGTGGAGTTTTTCTTTTGCTATTTGAGCAAATGGGAATGCAAAAAATATATTTGTTATACTCTCCCATTCACTGCTATTCAAGTTAACCCAACTATGACGACTTCCGCTGCTGAGAAACCCGGAAATGTGAAAAAGGTCCATTGAGTAATGCTTTATATTTCACTTACTCGTGGCTAATACTCCATTCCAAACACATCCTTTGTTTTGTCTGTCTTACCAAAATGTGTGCTTCTTCCTCAATTAGTCTGTTTTGAGCATTAGTCTGAGTTGTGTTTGACAATATAAACTGACATTTCAGTTTTAAGATTTTCTTCCCGCTCAGTGGCTCTAATGACTAGAGAAAACTCAAAGAAGTTGTGCAATAAAGTATATAAGTATTCTCTCTGTTGTGCTGCCCTCCTCAGTTGGGACGCCTCCACTGCGCTCTTCAGCCAGCGCTACAGTGTATGTGAACCTCCTGGACCTCAACGATAATGATCCTGCCTTTATCAACCTCCCATTTGTCGCTGAAGTACCAGAGGGGCTTCCCATTGGATCATCTGTGTTCAGGGTTAGCATTTGATTGGTTGAAGTCTCTACAAGGACCAGGAGTGCACTGATTAAATATTCAACAAGATCAGCTTTTCATTTAGTATGCAAGGGGACCTGGGTTCAAATTCTGATATTAAAATGTGTTTTTGAAATAAACCAAGCAAAACTGCTACTTAACTTGACAGCCAGAGATCTCCAGGCAATAACTTTATGGAAAGGAGTGGATTTTACATTTTGTCAATAACTCTCTTTGCAGGGGAAAGTCATCCTTTCAGCCTTACATAGATATTCATAAATCATAAATATTATTTTTATTATAAATCTTTGCTTACGTTTAGTTACATTACAGTTCAAAAGTTTGGGTCAGTGAGTTTTTTGGTCCCACTTTATATTAAGTGGCCCTAATACACCATTCAGTGGATGGTTACATATGTGTAGTTACACAAACATTACAGCTGTAGATACTATGTACCAATGTGTACTTACACTGTGGTTACATACTATGTACATATCTAGTTACTATGTAAGTACACAGGTATTAGGGCCACTTAATATAAAGTGGGACCAAAATATCTTATCAGTAAAAACTTTGGAACACTTTTTGCACTCAAAATCAACTTGGCATAAAAATCAGAGGAGTCTTGTACCACTTTTGGGGTCATCTTTGATTTAATGCCAACTTCTAGTGAAGTTCTTGTAATGAAACTGTCCTGTGCTCTGCTGCCCCCCGCTGGTTTCCTCCCTCAGGTGCAGGTGCAGGACCCTGATGAAGGTGAAAATGGTGCGGTAACCATGGCGCTTCAGATGGGGATGCCACGGCTGGACTTCAGGCTCAACACCACCACAGGGGTCCTGGTTTCCACCGCAGTGCTGGACCGCGAGCAGATCGGCCAGTATTATCTGAGGATTATTGCGTATGACGCAGACCAGTTTCCTCGAACTTCCACGAGTACTCTCACTATCACAGGTACATAGCAGGATCACTGCCCCACTGTGTTAAGATGCAAATGCTAAATCATCTTGATGTCTGTCACTCTTTCTGTGCAGTTTTGGACATGAATGATGAGACGCCAACCTTCTTCCCCAGCATGTATAACGTATCGTTGGATGAAAACGTGCCCCGTGACTATGTGGTGGTCAGACTGAACTGCACGGATAATGACGCGGGTCTTAACTCAGAGCTCAGCTATTTTATCACAGGTCAGAGTGCAGAAGGTCACAGATCAGAGGGTGCGAGTGAGTTTGTGCTGATGGAGCAACACTGTGGGATTTTGGTTGGGTCTGCTGTCAACAGATGTGAAGCTAAGGCTCTGTTCCAAAATCCAGTGAGCGGCCTACATACAGTAGACAGCATTTTAAGGAGAATTGTGATGCATTGTGATTTACACAAATAATATTTGTGTTGTGCTATATATTTTATGCTTATTAGAAGAGCACTACTTCATTATCTTTGCAAAAAGTATTTACTAATTTACTAAATAAAATTCACTAATTTACTAAATATTTGTGTGCTATGTATTTTGAGCTTATTAGAAATGTTTTACATTATTATCTTCACGAAAAGTATACTTAAATTGGTTAAAAATCACTATTTACCAAATGTTTGTGTGCTATGTATTATCTGCTTATTAGAAGAGCAACGTCATCTTCACAAAAGGAATTTAAGTATAGTTAAATTGGTTAAAAAATGACTACTTTACCAAATATGTGTGTGTGATTTGTATTTTATGTTTATTAGAAAATTACCATATAATTATCTTTACAAAAAGTATTTTAATATAGTTAAATTGGTTAAAATGTCACTAATTTAGTCAATATATGATTTTGCTACATATTTTATGCTTATTAGAAAAGTAATTATCTTCATGAAAAGTATTTTAATATAGTTAAATTTATTTATTTTTTAAAAACACTAATTTACCAAATATTTTTGTGTGCCATGTGTTATGCTTATTAGAAGATTACCACATCATTATTTTTGCAAAAAGTATTTAAGTTAAATCAATTAAAAAAGCGCTATTTTACACAATATTTGCGTGTGCTATGTATTTTAAGTTTATAAGAATCTTCATGAAAACTATTTAAATATAGCTGAATTGGTTAAAAATTCACTAATTTATTAAATAATTGCGTGTACTGTGTATTTGTACATCATTACCTCAAATTTAAAAATTAACAATTTTTACCAGATATATTATATAATATACGTATTTTATGCTCATTAGAAGAGTACCACATTATTATCTTTGCGAAAAGTATTTAGGTATAGTTAAATAGATTTCACTGTTTTGCCAAATATTTGTGTGTTGTGTATTTTATGCTCATTAGAACAGCACTACATCATTATCATAGCAACATGCTAATGCCAAACTCCATTGAAATCAATTGAGGAATGCTGTTTGTATGACAACACAATACTAGCACATTCAAAATCAGTCAGTTATGAGGTTCCATTATAGTTAGTATGACGTCTTTTGAGGCAGCACACAAGTGGTTTAGAACAGAGCTGAGATGTGTGATTTCTTAGTCTGTCTTTGTGTGTCCCTATAGCTGGGAACCAAGATGGAAAGTTTAGTGTGGGTTTCCGGACCGGAATAGTACGGACTGTGGTGGGTCTGGACCGCGAGACTCAGGCCTTGTACAGGCTAGTGATTGAAGCGATTGGTGAGTTTCATATAAAAGCAACTGGTTATGCATGTGTGCGTGCACATGTGGTATGATCTGCTGCAGCTTCCTGTCTAAATGACTTTGAGTTTAAAGCAAGTGTTGTGGTTTCCTGTTTGACTTGAGTGCATTTAGAAATACTGCAGCTGTTCTAATACCTGTTTAATGAGTTTCAACTAAAATATGCTGGCCACTTTTTTCAATACAAGTATTATGTCAAATACATCATTATTCTTATCTGATTATAAATGATAATTATGATGAAATGAAATTAAATGAAATGCATGTTTTGGAAGACCGGAACACATGACTCTGGGAATATTTACTTTTTACAATGATTCAAGCACAAAGACTCTTCCAAGTCATTTTACATACAAACATGTATTTTTAACATTTTTAACATAATGAGTAGTTTAGTCATGAAACTCTAGATGGCACAGGCTGATGGGTTGTTAAAAAAAAAAAATACTGAGAAAATAGCCTTTAAAGTTGTCCAAATGAAGTTCTTAGCAATGCATATTACTAATCAAAAATTAAGTTTTGATATATTTACGGTAGAAAATTTACAAAATATCTTCATGGAACATGATCTTTATTTCATATCCTAATGATTTTTGGCATAAAAGAAAAATCTATAATTTTGACTCATACAATGTATTTCTGGCTATTGCTACAAATATACCCCAGCGACTTAAGACTGGTTTTGTGGTCCAGGGTCACATATATTAATTTTAGCTAATTATTTTACTTTATCTTATTGTTTTAGTTCTCTGTCTTAACACATTTTACACCAATACCAGTGAATTTGGTAAGCCAAAGCTGTCAAGGCTTGTCTTCTGTGGGTCTTTTGTATGTGGCTCAGGCCAGTTTTAGCACAGTCAGATGGTATGCTGTTGCTTGGTACAACTAATGTTTATTTAAAGATGACTAGTACTACCATGTAGGACCAGTGAAGATATGAGTCATAAAGACTGTATTGTGGCAGTGTTTTTATGTTGCTATCAGGGTTCCCATCATGCAAAACCTATAAATATCAGGTATAATATAAATTAAAATGCATATAATATAAATTAGAAAAATAAAATATAATTATATCATTTTGTTTTAAGTATACTAAAACATTCCAGCTAGGATACCAGCTTTTCTTGAGTCTAATCTATGTAAAATAATTTTTTAAAATCCAGTAACACTTTAGATTAGGGAACACTATTCACGATTAACTAGTTGCTTATTAACATGCATATTCCTAGCATATTATCTGTACTTCTAAAGCACATATTAATGCCTTATTCAGCATTACCATATTCTAGACCCCTTAACTCTACCCAATACCTAAACATGACTACTACAACAACTTCCTTACTTACTATCAATAAGTTTATTGAGGGGAAACTCTTTAATAGTTTAATAGTGAATATGTGTTCCCTAATATAAAGTGTTACCAAAAATCCTTATCCAATCATCCTGAACAACTGGAAACGTTGTAGAAATTCATTGGTCAAGCTTGATCTTTGAACTGTATTTTATTTGTACTGCGAGTAGGATTTCCTAACTGTATTGGCCAGACTGTTGATGGTTTTCTCCATAGATAATGGTCCAGCGGGAAGTCGGAGGACAGGAACAGCTACAGTATATGTGGAGGTGCTGGATGTCAATGACAACAGGCCTATATTCCTCCAGAACAGCTATGAGACCAGCATCCTGGAGAACATACCCAGAGGAACTAGTATATTACAGGTACACATGCTCATATTCACAATTCACTCTGATATATAAAAAGAATGCTCATGGATATATATATAAATACTTTTTATTCCAATAAACAACAGCAGAACTATCACAATACTGGTATTATGAAGTAGCACATGAGGGTGTATGATTGTTACATTGTGTTTGTCTGTAACAATGGTAGCATTATCATGTTTTCAGTGGTTTTCTGTGATGTCATGTTCCGCTGTACTGGAAAACGATGACAATCTCTAGGCTGGCAACAAATGCCATAATAGGGTAACCATGACGACGCTTTAAAAGTTCTAGAAAGCCAGCAGAATCATTTCAGATGACTAAATAAAGGGTGTTTTCATTTTCAAAGGGCTTTTAACCTCTTTCCATATGTTGAAGTTGATATTGAACTGTTATTGAAGTTAGTTTGGGGAATATTCCATCTTTAATATGCAAAGCTTTGTTTTAGTTTGCATGAGTTTGCTGTTGCGGAGTAAACCAGAGTCACAGTGGCACAACAACAGTTATTTGAAAAAAGTAAAATGTAATTTGGACACTTAAAGCACACTTAAAAAACACTAAAAGTCACAAGTACAGTATTTTAAGATGGCACAAACACACTTTCCCAGCAAAACATTTGACAAAAAGAAGTTTTAAATGATAAAACAATAGATATACTGTTCAAAATAAAGATGTTATGGCTGTCAAACACAGTGTTGGGTGTAATACATTACTAAGTAATAAATTACTCTAATTACTTTTCCTTGAAAAAGTAAAGTAAGGGATTACTGTTAATTTTCTGTAATATAATTACAGTTACTTCCTATGTAATTGCATTAAATACTGTATAGACTATAGAACAATTTTATATTAATCAATAGTAGATTAATTTAGTACATTCATCTAATTAAACTGTTGAAAATGTAATTTGTAGCTAGTACTTAATTACTTTTTTAGAGCAACTTACCCAACACTGGTCAAATCAGTAGAATAAGCCAGTAGTTAATGTGAGCACCAGTTCTACCACAGTTTGTCTATGAATGCTAAGTGGTTTGCTGTTTTGGTTTCTAATGCTGTGACATTCAGGCATTTTTAAGTGGGCTTTAAGTGTACAAATACTCTTGGGGCTACATACGTGCAAATGAATCAGAATTTCCTCTAAATAAATAGAAATGTTGTTAATGCCCAGTCAGAATGGCCACCATTACTCAGAAAGCACCTGATCTTTGCTCATCCAGGTCATGTCTGTTAGTCTCCACAGCAATGTGATGTAGGCAATGTCCAGCTGTTTATAGAGTTGCGGCCACCGAATGGTTGGATTGTTGAGTCACGTCTTGTTTTGTTTGGTGTGAATGGTGAATGAAATGAGTTGGCTTGTCTCTGTCAGTGCTGATAGCTGAGGTCACAGTTTCTGTTCTCATGTTTGCAGTGATTGTGTATGTATGTGCACTTATAGACACACTCCAGATGTGAATACTGTTTCCATAAAGTTTTAATACACACATGGAGAGTGTTATCTGTTAGCATGGATTATACATGAATAACATGGTTTCTGGCTGTTTTAGATTCTGAAGCAGCATCCAGTGTTATTTTAGAAATATATATATATATATATAAGTAAGCTTCACATGCATCCTTCATGGAAGAGGTACAGTAATCCCAGAATGCAATGCATTGAGCTCAGTGACAATGGCAGACAAATTGATAGAAATGCCAATTCTAAATACATTTCATTCAATACATGGAATTACAGATGAAATTGTCAGTTTAAATTCGATGAAATCGTTTTTATTTCATATTTGCTTGCTATGCATTTTTGTGCTTATTAGAGAATCACATCACAAGCTTAGCAACAAGCTGACAACTCTTTTGAAATCAATTTGGAGTCAAGTTTCCTGTGGCGTACATAGTTGTTGCCTATGAAATGCACTTTAAATCAATCATCTTCTAATCACTTAGAAGGCTGCTGCCTATGTAGATACTAAATAGCAAGACAGCTCACTAGGTGATGCAACAGAGCTTATATCTCGGTGGAATACTGCAGCAGAGCCGGTATAGTAATATATGTGTGGGAGTCGTTTGTCTTTGACCCTGCGGGCGACATCGACCCTGATTGCTTCCTGCTCTGGGCTACGTATGGCTGAATGGGTCTTCTGAAGGCCGGTGTGGAGGAAAATGACTGCCTCATCGAGCCCAAACGCTTCCAGAGCTTCAGCTGGGGCTCGCTGGACAGAGTCTGGCCACACGAGAAACCGTCTGCTGGGCCGCAGTCCCCATCCACACCCCAGAACCCTCCTGACGGGCAGCCCACCGCTAGAAAGGTCACAAAGCCCCCGAATAGAACGAAGAGACACACGATGATTGTGATGGTCATGAGGGGATGGTGAAGATCCAGAGGTGGAGACGTCGGGGAGACCGGAAGTGAGAGATTAGAGAGGGACAGATTGAAGGAAACATCCATGTCAGCCTGGATCTGTAGAGATGCAAAACAGGAAGAGTTAAATCTGGGTTAAGTGGAGCGTGTTTATAGTAGAGATGTAGGTGTTTTTGTGATCCTCTGGGTTCAAGCTTGTGCAAAAGTGTGAATGTGTGCTTGAGCAAGATGCATGCAAGATACCAGGATGTGGTTGACAGGTGTGTGTGTGTGTGTGCATGCTTAAAAAGAAAAAAATCTCTTTAATATCTCAGTTGTTTCTCTTAGAAGAGATTGAGAGTACAGGGACACTTTATTTTGAACCAAAGGCCTAAAACATCTACGCAAGTATGTGAGCGCAAGCGCTACGATCTTATATGTGTCATAGTGGTCCAAAATGTGTCGTAATCCAAATTATTATGCAATTCAAGTATGCGTTTCATTCTCACAAGGGGAATCTTTTTTTTTGGCCAAAAAAAAAGACCTTAGTATCAATACTGTATAGCGTCAGGATTTGTAGGAGTAACACCAAATGAAACAGGTCATGAAGTCTCCTGAGCAGTGACAGAGCAACATCTGAGCACATTTTCCTCTAGGTACAGAGCAGTGGTTTGTGGTGGTGGGATTGCACACCTACACACACCTTATCATCATCACCATCTAGCAGCTCTACACATGCTGCTCCGAGCGCTCCTCTGCAAGACTATCAGAATGACTGAGCGATTTCTCTAAAGAAATGTCAAGAAAGGTCAAAGTATAGTGGATTTATATTGCACTATATTGATTACAGATTAGCGAGAGTCTCTTACTCGCTCTCTTTCTCTAACACACACACACCCACCCACCCACACACACACACACACAGACTCTAAGGTCAGGAAAATCTACACAAGTGCATAAACACAAGCACTTCTAGCATGCATTGTTGTGTTTGGAAATGTGCCATACAGCAATTCATAGAGCAACACAAATGCATAGCATTCTCACTTCTCAACATCATCTTTTACCCTCATTTTGCTTTTGCAGATCAACTATTGTAATGGCTGAGTTACAGATGGAGGAGAATCTGTCTGAACTGCAGAAAGTTATCTCAATTTCCAGTCAAAATATTTAACAATCCTTAATACATAATAAATTTACTTGAGAAACAGACCTGCATAAGATATTAAGGCTTGCCTTCAGCGAAAGTGTCTTTAATATGAGCTTTTTTTGAGTGTGTGTGTGTGTGTCTTGCACTGGCAAAATTTCAAAATAAGTGAAAAAATAAGGCAAAAATGCAATTGCATTTTGTCTCACACTCTTATTAATATAATATAAGGCATATACATTTATCTTGTTTTAAGGTCTTTTAAAGGTTTTTTTTTGGAAAAAGACTAATTAAACACTAAGAAGTCATTTTTTCTCAGTGTATGCAAGTTAGAGTTAAACATACTATCACTATCACAGTAGCAGTGGTTGTCCAGTCTTGATCCTGGAGGGCCACAGTCCCACAGAGTTTAGTTCCAACCCCATTTAAATGTCTGAATCAGCTAATCAAGGTCTTCAGGATCACTAGAATCTTCCAGGCAAGTATGTTTGGGGCAGGTTGGAGCTGAACTCTGCAGGACATTGACCCTCCAGGAGCAGGATGTGCTCCTTACATGTTAATTATGTACAAACAGGTAAATGCATTTATGCATCTGTTTTTTTGTACTACTTATGTCGAGAACAGTATGTTTCTGGTCTACACCACTCCCATAAAAACACATTTGAAATGGCATTTGACATTAAAAATGTTAGTGCCCCACTAAGTGAGCAGTCAGATGAGAAATGTGGTCAGTTGGTTTTATTTTTTATTTTTTTGAAAGCTAATTTGGGTCTGTTAAAATAACTCTCAATCCATCTGAAACACACACGCGCACACACACACACACACACACACACACACACACACACACACACACACACACACAGACAGTGTA